TGATCTTACAGGTTTAGTCTAAGCTCTTACATGGACTTGGCTTAAATTATAATATCTAATGGTTAAATATATCTATACAAAGGGGGGAAAAAGAGGGAACATCAAATAAGCTATTGTCTTATAAAATGATAAGAAAATGTATGGTTTACAAGATTAGTTTGAATCTCTGTGATCCAAATTGATTGAATCATCGGAAATGCTGTGTCAGTAACCCATGTCTAGCTGCTTCTCATCATATTTCGGAAAGATTTTTGTTTCATCAGGAAGGTGGAATTCCTTTAAGACAGAAATTCCTCGTAATTCTATGGAACTCATACTCTAGTTAGAACAGTGGTTCATTTTCGAAGGGCTGGGGAATAAGACAGTTTAACCTCCTAAGCATGACATCAGATTTGTTGTGGCTTGGAAGTAACACCATAGGGTGTTAATGGAGGTGTCAGTCACTAACAGAGTACCTGTGGTGTAAACCTGTCTTTTAACTCTCTGTGTTGTGCCTTTGTTTAGGGAATAAAACCAATGTATTGGTCATGTTACGAGCTGGCTAGTAGTGAAAGGAAAAGCAAAAAGGTTCAGTCATACGGGGGTCTTTGTATAAACAGCTGTATGAGGACAGGATTGGGTCTGAGAAACCAGTGGACCCGCCTCTGCTCCCCTTTCTCACACAGATTGTCACTCACAGACTTGGACTTCAGCACCACTCAACCTTCCTTTTTGTGTTTCCAAGTTTTAATGCCTAAAATCCCCATTCCTGAGTTGAATCCCTGAGCTGTGATGACAGGGCGTGTGGGAAGAAATTGGTGAAGAAGAGTGAGAATTGTCTGCTTGATCCTGAGGGTGGGGACTGGATAGATAGAGAAGAAAAGGCTATTGACTCAGAAACTGCCTGGTTTAGCCAAGCAGAACAGAGCATGTGTGAGCTACTGTGTTATCCCAGTCACTAGGGAACAGTATCACTGCTTTGTTTATGAGTGGGTCTAATCACCCTCAACTCCCTTTGACTTCAAGCATTAAGCTTCTGCCTAGTGGCAGTTGGGAAAATGAGACTGCAGTGACTGACTGAAGAGAACCCCTTTTGGAGTTCCCACCGCAATGTTATGATGAGCTCCTCAGCTGCAGCTTAAAGGCCCAACAGAGATTTTTTTGATTTGACTTAAGGGATTGCTTTCAGACACGAAGCAAACAAGTGATTAAGTATAAAGAAGATGTGGTAATGAGTTTCAGATGAGGCCTTTTATGTTTATTAAAAGAAGTCCAAAAGTTTGCTGCTGCTACTATTTCTTATTTTCTAACTTAAAAAGTCATCTTTGAATCTCGTACTGCACACTGCTTACAAACTGCAAGATCCTAATACTGTATTGTTGTAAAAAAAAGTCTTAAAAATAAAATAAATCCAATAGAATTCCTCTCTCACCTCCCTCCCCGCCCCAGTGTATAGAAAAGCAATGAGCCATTTTAAGAGCAGGGGGAACATGCATTTTGAGATCCAATAGATCATCTAAATTGGTCTGAAACCAAGTTTTAAAATGGCATTGCAAGGACTTCTGCTTTGAATAAATTTAACATTACAAAACTTGGAATATAAGTAAAATAAATTTGCTGATTGTTTTGTACTGAACTAATATTCTAATTAACTAGGAAAATAAGTGCTTAATGGAGATGATGCTTTCTGACTAGTCAGACTGCAGAACTTAAAAATGCTAAACATTTATGCCCTTTCAGTTACTTGCATCTATCTTTTTATTATAAATTTATTTGTAATAAATTTGAATTTCTATGTAACGTAAACTTTAAACCCTTGTCCTCTATTTTCTGACATTTGTATGTTTGAAATTTGGATTAGTGAATCTAAAATTTCTCACTTGTCTGACTTCCTGCAGCTCTGTTTAGACGGAGAATTACTCTAGACTGCCACATCATATATTTTCAATCCAAACCTTGTCTTCTCGATGGCCTACCTTGCAGCCAAAAAAAGCCTGAGTGGGTCCACCTGGTGTGAACACCTTAAGGTTTCAGAGCTGCAGCATCAGAAGAATGGCCTCTATTCAGGGAAACCCATCTTTGTAGTATCAAATGATTGCACTCTCTTTATCTTAGTTCTCTACTTTGCATGAAATTATAACATCATTCTAATGGTTTGCAAACCTTGCAAAGGTTCTCCATGCCTGTGCTGCCACCTCTGTGTGCTTTCTGAGCTGCATACTGTCTTTCTGGGTGGAACGGAAGACAAATGTAGAAGTAGGTCTATGGCAGTATTTTTAGCATCTCTTCTGGACTTGTTCTGATGTATTAACCTGCCTTCTAGAAAAACGAAATATTTCACTGAGAATAAACTCCTTGATTTCCATACCCCAGGCTTAAATTTGGGAGTTTGAGGCTGCACAATGAATGCAGGATTGAATCTGTAATGCTTAACAGAGTTGGTTTTGTTGATCTTGTATGATGTTTAAAAGTGCTGACAAAATTTCGTGGGTATACTATGCTTTCTTGCATTATTTTATTTGCAAACTAGCCTTCAATAATATGAGACTCACATTAAAACAAACAAACAAGAAACCCCTGTCTTTTGGTCTTTAAAAATGTGAGGTATGATGAAATCTGTTTTGTTTACCCCAAAATATCCCCATCTAGTATTCTGTGTTGCCCATGAGCTGCTCAGTGATTCATTTGTAACTGCATTTCTGAACCAGAATGTGGAAACAGGTATGATTTAGTGGAAGTGGTCCCTGAAGGAACCAATACATGCGAAGTGCAGCTCTTGAAATACTGATGATTAAAACCAAACATATTCAATTGCTTTAATGAACTGCGATGTCTACTATCTTATTACAAAGCTGCCTTTTATTACAAAGTATTAAGAGTAGAATTTATGTGATGAGTAATTCTTTCTTTGGCATTAGTGAATGAATGAAGTTCTGCCCCTTACCCCCACAGTGTATTTTAGATTAGACAAAGAAATGGATAAACATTTTAAACTTGATACATGTTCTAGTTCAGTTTAACTTTTATTCCTCCCCACCCCTTTTACAATTCTCTTTATTTATCTGTTCAGCCTAGCACACCCTTTCATACACTTTTGTTTTTAAACATTTTTGTAGGAATAATATTATTTGCTTTTTCTATTTCAATGAAATATTTAATTTTTCACTTTGCTAATTATCAAGGTTACCAAAGATTATGTGCATCATAATTTGAACTGTTTACATTCTACAGTCAGGATCTTTATATTCTTGAATTATTACAGTATTGTAATTGTCTTGATCTTTTCTACTATATAAAAAGCTACACCATTAGAACTTTCAAAACTTCATTTTCTAGCTTGCAGTTTTACCTTATGGCTTCACCTCCACTTCACCATCACGTCATTGTAAGGCAACTTAAGCATTTGCTTTATTCCAGTCTATTGTCGTATTTTAATTTAAGGAAGCAGTGATGAGGTATCTTTTAATAACTTTTTGGAAATTATTGAGAGCCAGTAGTCTGTATAGTATATTAGAAGTTCTCAAAGACTGAATCAGTGAGCATCCTGATAGTGACTGCTTCCTTTCCTCTTCACGGTGTGAAGAGTAACTCCTTTTCCTTTTGGAATTAGTCCTTGTGGTAACTGCTTCAGGCACTGCTTATGTAGAATGGTGTTATTAATAAAGGTACTAGAAATTTGAAGCTGTGAAGTAGGATTGTTAAATCTACTTGAAAAACCTGCTTTCCTGTCAGGCTCATTGTTTCTTCCCCTATTTTGACATTTTCTATGTGTTTCTTTGTGTATCTATGTTCATATGCCTGCTGCTGTGGCCATGTCTGTCTGTCTGCATTGTGTGTACTTTCCAGTTTCTTGATTATACTCCCCCAAAAGCCAGTTCCTTCTTCCTCCATTTCATTGAGCAGGTACCCTGTGATTTAGATTTTCCTTTTTCTTTCCACTTTTTTCTTTGCTTCACAAAAAGTTTTTCTTGTTTTTGATAATATTTATGCTGCTGCCCTTGAATGTGGTTGCTGCTTCCCACCACCCCCATAGTGGAGGAGAGTCAGCTATTTTTCCTCCTTGTTTACAAATGCTTTTATGAGTACCCAAGCTTCTAATTGCAATTAGCAGGAGAGCTGTTTATAGAAACAACTGTATACAAATAGTAACCAGTATCAAGTGATCTACGGATTTTTTCCAGACCACCAGCAAGCATTTGCCTGACTATAATTTGGTAACTGTTTGAATTGTGTTCGGAGAACAATAAAATGTACGCTTGAGCTTTTATAAAGAAAGAAGTGAGAAAACTGAGGCTGCATACACCTTCTGGGCTGTTAGAATGCTTTTGATTTTTTTTTTTCCTTTTTTTAATTTATTTTAGGGTTTCTAGAGGAAAAAAACTGTTACGTAGTGCACAGCAGTTTGGTGAGGGTCTTTAATAAGACATTTCTGCTTAGAAAAATCCTTAGGATATCCCTTATTTTGTTTGATAGGGGTTTGTGCTTATTACAGCAAAATACAGTAAGGCCCATTTGTTGAGAGACATGCAACATACAATGGAGAAAAGTGAAGAACCTTATAATTTCCTTATTTGCCATGTATTTGTTCAATTGTCTTTCTAGATTGCTGATCTGTGCCCAAACCTTTGTAGTGATTGTGGTATCTGATAGACAGTTTCATGGCTTTAATGGGCAAAGTAAATACAGAATACAGAACATTATTTTCAATAAGTTATATATTTCATAGGTCAAGGTGATTTTCTTTTTGAGTCCTTTATGCATGTTACGGCTTTTTTACTGCTGTTTCATATTTTGACTATTCTACTTTTTTTTCATTCAGGCTTTGGTGCTAGAAATGCTTTCATTTTTTTATTCCATTTTAACAAAATAATCTTTTACTCGTAGAAGAAGTTAGAAAATCTACATAGAAAAAACCTCCAAAACATTTCTTAAGTGACCAAAAAGGGGGTAATTAATAAAATTAAATAAAATATGTTAGTGATCTTTGTAAAACCAAAACATGTTTGATTTACTTACTATAGGTTGATGCCTTGCGATTACGATTGGAAGAAAAAGAAACCTTTCTGAATAAAAAAACAAAACAACTACAAGACCTCACAGAAGAGAAAGGAACCCTGGCTGGAGAGATTAGAGATATGAAAGACATGTTGGAAGTAAAAGAAAGAAAAATTAATGTCCTTCAGAAAAAGGTAAGAGCACTGATGAAAGGCTGCACTGTAAAACTTTTGAGGCATATTTATTTCTTTTAACATACTCATTTTAATATGTTAAAAAATGCAAGGAATAAATGTATAATAGTCTGGTAGTTCTGTAACTTTTACTGTTCAAGTAGCTCTTTCCCAATATCTTAATCATATTATGTCACAAAAATATTAGGTTGCATAGTTTCCACAAAAATTATTTGAACTAAATGAAAGTCCTAAAAATTCTCACAAAACTTATTTCTCAACATGAGGGATTCTGTTATCCTTACTAACACCGATTACTTCTCTTTCCAAGTAATGTAAATAAAATGTGTGGGTCTGTTCAGAGATTAGGATACTGTGTCTTCTTCTTTAAAGACTTTCTTCTGTGGGGTGGGGAAGAAATCTAATTTAAGTTAGTTATCTGCTTTTCCTGTGAGCTAAAGATGTTAAGAAGGGACGCTCTCTCTGAAAAGCCTTATTAGTCTTATTTCTAATTTTCCACAGATTTAGCTAACTACATTTACTGTGTTTGGGAAGTTGGATTTAATCATTATAGTTTCCACGTGGGGGTGGGAAGGGAATTTCCTGGAAAGAAAGCTCTGCAAGTGTTCTGCATACAGCAGTAGAGTGTGGCTGTTTATCATAGCCTTTTTCTCACACTCACAAAAATATTTATGCTAGCAGGTATGTTCTCTACGTGTCATTTGTATCACTATTGTATGTAGATGCACTTGTGAGCATACAGATAAATGGAGAAAAAGTTCTTGCATCCCATACATTTTACTATTACTTCTCCCCTCCTCTCACAGCCACTCAAAAGAATGTCTACTCCTTACTCTCTATTATGTAGGTAGTTCATATCCAGGATTCATACAGGGTTCACATGGTCCAGCTCTACGTCTGTCTGCAATTGTTTAAATACAGTCTTTAAAAAGCCAAGTCCTTGTTTTCCAGAAACTGAGAAGACTGCTTTTTCAGGACTAGGAAGTAAGGCCTATCAAAACTGCAGTATCTTTAATCTTATTTCTGAATGTTTGCCCTGTTAGCAGTGCTGATGATGTAAAGATAGGAAAATTCAAGCCCTTTACCCTGTACTGAATGCCCATTAGTTTTGGACATCACTTGAGAGTTTTGAAGAAAAGAATGTGTCTTTTCTGATGGTTTGTATTCTAAAAAGGCCCTAAACAGACCAACAATGTGCAGTTTGTCTTGTATTTATATCTTGAGGAAGTGGATCAGTAAGAGGAATGTGGATTTAGTAATCTAAATTGTGGGATGAATGTAACTTATCACAGGGCTCTCAGCACTCTCTGTCATGCCTGTGTGCTCAGTAATATTCAGCATAATGTGTTTTTGCTGGTTTTACTACATTATGGCTGTTTAATTGGGGCTTGCAGATGGTCTTGCCTCTTTTGCACCTGTTTCTTAATGAAAATAATCAGTCTTAAACTGCACTATCTATTTTCACTAAATCATAAATGCATGTTACAGTATCATGAGTTCTAGTACACAATGTGATAAATCTGCTAAGTATTAGGTGCAAAATCAGAGTTAGCACTAAACTGATTCTTTAAAACTGAAGAAGCACATGATTTATTTATTTATTTTTTAGGTTTTTATTCTGGTAAATATGCTTCATCAGGAACTTCTAAGGTCACGTTTTTCTGCTGTGGACTAAATACCAGGTTTACATAGAGAAAAATGCATTCTGACGATTACTTAAAAGTAAAAATAGTCATTGACATCATGTAAAAATTATGTGTCAGTTTGCTTCTCTGACACATTTTTAATAACCACAATATCTTAATACGTAGATGTTAGCATGCCCCAGGATGCTAATATCAGATCATCACTACACAAAATTTGTTTATAGGAAAAGAATATAATATTTGGAAAATACATTTTTTTAAATTACCCCTAGGTCAACTTTTCAGCTTTTACTTGTGCCACGCTTCCAGTGTAGTTTGAAGATAAGTTCACTCACAGATAATTTGGCTAGAGAAAAATTTGATTGAAATATTGTCCTGCTGTACTTTCTCCTATTATTTAAGTAAGTCCAGAGTATGACAAATTGACGGATGCTCTCACTGTTTACTTTTCATGTGTCTGACTGATGTACAATTCTGAAGTAAAATGTCACCAATGGAGATCAAGGTTTTTAAATCAATCTGGAAAAAAAAAACAGTAATATACCTAAAAATAAAATAACCCAAGTGTTCAACTTCATTTTGGCAGTGCTTATTAGATCATGACCTCCTATGGTTATTCTCCTTGAGCATGCCAGTGTCCTTGGCAGCAGATGCAGTCTCATCTCTGGAACACGATACTCACATGTAGAAAGGAAGATGTTTGGTGCCTGTTGACTTTTTTTCAAGAAGCTTTCCTAGCTTTGTGCCTTTCTGTTCTAGATAACTTTATCCTCACTGCATGAAGTTATGTGTCCTAGGACATTCATACCTCACAGTCTTTATGTTCTGTCAAAGGCAAAGGGAGCACAGCCCTTTTTTATCCATAAGCAGATTGTTCATTCAGACGTGTGTGTTATTTCAGAACTGTGTTGGGCTGTATGTAGTAGTAATTCCTAGTGCTGTAGTATTCTTATTGTAATGTTTTTGAACAGTCACTTTTCAGGGATTTTCAGGTAATTCAGATAATCCTGTGGTGGATGCTGTGCTTTAAGGTTAAGATTGTCCAATGTACTTCTTTTCTTTCTAGTTTTGACAACATACATTTCCAATAGCAAGCATATATAAGAAAACATTTTGATAGAAAAGTATTCATTTTATGTATATATATATATTGATTGTAGTAATTTTATCCTTTACTTGAGTCTAATTAGGCTTTTATCCTTACTCCTTGCTGGATTGCACGTCTCTTGCATTCCTCCACTTTTTGCTCGTTTTCTGCTTCTGACCTTTTGTCCATTTCTTCCACTATTGTTTTTGCTTCGAGTGATGGCAGCCAGACATTTGTGTGTGATGTGTTTAGAAGTTAATTTGTTCCCATCATGCATATATATGTGGAGAATTCAGTGGTGGAAAGCAACATGGACTGTTTCATAGAGAATTAGGAGGTGAAACAATTACTGGGCCTTCTAGTGGATTGTCCTGCCTTCTGTCTTAATTGTATGAAAACCCTTCTGAAAGTGAAGGAATTGCTTTTATTTTTTCATCAGTTCTTGGTAGTCACTGGATTCTCTGATTGTAATGTTATAATGCTTGTCTGCGTTTTTTTTTTCTATGCAGCCAGAATTTTGTTTTTGCATATTTTTAGCCTGGAGAAGAGAAGGCTGCGTGGAGACCTCATAGCAGCCTTCCAGTATCTGAAGGGGGCTGTAGGGGTGCTGGGGATGGACTCTTCATTAGGGACTGTAGTGATAGGACAAGGGGTAACGGGTTAAAACTTAAACAGGGGAAATTTAGATTGGATATAAGGAAGAAGTTCTTTGGTGTAAGGGTGGTGAGGCACTGGAAAGGGTTGCCCAGGGAAGTTGTGAATGCTCCATCGCTGGGGGTGTTCAAGGCCAGGTTGGACAAAGCCTTGGGTGGCATGGTTTAGTGTGAGGTGTCCCTGCCCATGGCAGGGGGGTTGGAACTAGATGATCTTAAGGTCCTTTCCAACCCTAAATATTCTATGATTCAATAATTTACTTTTGATACGAGAACTTGTGAATAACCGGTGAATTTAGTGCCTTAATTTATTGATGCAAGATAGATGGCTACATCTCTCTCCACTCAGCCTGAAGTGCTTTACTCAGCCTAAAATAATATTTGCTTTAATGGTTGTATTCAAGTAATTGAAGAAGGAACAATTTGTATATAGTGCTTAAAAATAGTTCTGTCAGTAATAACCTGAACCTGAGAAAGAAGGAATATGTAACTTGGAAAGATGCAATTTCTAATTCAATGTTCTTTCTCTTGTGACCACTGCTCTTATCTGCCATGTTGAAAAATACTAAGAAGACCAAAGGAAACCTGTCCTGGTTTTCCACGACAAAACCTTAAGCAGTTCCCTTTCAAAGGTGGAGTGGTTTGTTCTCTTTTCTGTATAGCTGTTATACTTGGATGACAGGACAGGTTCTGTTGAGGGCTCCCTACCAAAGGTGTGGAAGAAATAAAAACAGTGGCAACAAAACAGCTGGTGAGCCCCACAGACTGGCATAAGAACACACATAAGGCAAGATATTGCAGAAGAAAGTAATGGTCAGATAATTATCTAGTGATGCATTGTCCTCCAGTGCAGTAGTTTTAGTGTAATTTTTGACAAAATTGAGAAGTCGATACACTATTCAATGTAATTTGCAGGCTTAAGGGAGGCCCAGCAGTGGAACAGCATGCATTCAGAGGATTTGGATCAAGGTAGATTGGTATGGAGTAATAATAAACTTATGTCAATGTCAGAGGTGCAATATTACTTAATATTTCTTTCTTTTAGAATCTTTGGCACCACTGTTCTGTTTTAGTGCCAGTAAAGTTGGGTATGCTGTTTTAATAGCCTTGTTTAACCTGGCAAAGCTAGTATTACACCTCATATCTGTCAGTTTAGCATGTAGAGGGGCAGACCTCAGAAATCTTTATGTATTTCTTACCAGAACGTGCAAGTTCTATGAAAACGGCCAAGTTGTAAGCTGAAGGGAAAAAGTGCTGAACTGGATGATGATTCTTTCGTGTCCCTTTTTGCTCCCAAGTTTTTCTTTCATAGAGTGGCTATTCCTGATGTGTTTTGTGCTCTAGGAATCTGTAGGTATTTTAAGAAACAATTATATACTATGAGGTATGAGTCTCAGTGTTGAAAACAGTAGCTGTTGAGACAAGAACAGTGTAGAGGATGTAGACCTGGATCATATTAGGACAACAGCTTGTGGAAATTCTTTTGTGAGGACTATTATAAAAGAACACCATGTAAAGGGGACTAATATAATATTCTAGCTTGACTTGCAACATAACTTTCATGTAAAATGTTACAGTTTCCATCTTTAATAGTTTAAGCTTTGTGATTGATGA